TATGATATCCCATTTTGGCCTATTTTACATGAATGAGGCATTTAATCATTGATTACATTTTGCTGCTAGGTTCTGAAACAAGTGGGCTGGAGTAAGTCTCAAGTCATGTACGTTCTAAGTGATACATGCAATGGTGGGCCAGTAACACTAACCGTAGTGTTAGTGCAGCGTAGTGTTAGCTTTTTAAGCTAAGCTACACAAAAGTTACTGTTAGCGGGAATTTTTGGCCCACTAACACTACAGGATTTTTGAAAAAAAAAAAAAAAAAAACTTTAGCGTAGTGTTAGCTACCTTTAAAAAGGCACAACTAACACTACCCAAAATCCTGTTAGTGAAATTTTAGTGGTTTCAGTGGGTGAACCCACTACACTACATGTTAGTGTAACTTTTTGCAAAGTTACACTAACAGTTAGTGTAGTGGTACCCTCAGTTACACAAACTGTTAGCGTAACTGGTGAAAAATTTACACTAACTGTTAGTGTAACTGATTAAAAGTTACACATGACCACATGACTAGCATTAGTATACCCTGAAGACAGTGCCTGATTGGGGGGCCTACATCCAGATCCCCTCAATTGATCATCATTTTTTTTCAGTTGGTAATGGGGGCCACTCAATTTTAGCCCCCTGCCAATTTTTAACACTTACTTGTAAGACCACATTCCCCTGTCAGACTACCTTGAGGTTATGGGTTCAATTCTCCCTCAGATCATACTTTACTGGGTTCCATTCCCACATTTGTTCAATTTCCACTTTCACATCATGTAGCAAGGGGGGGGGGTTGAGGTGTAACCATGATGTATCACCAGAGTGTGGTGGAGCTGTTGGCATGAACCATGGCAACTTATACCACCCAAATAACCTTAATACAACCACAAGGGTCTGTAGCCTAGTTGGTAAAGGAAGCACTCTGGTATGTGACTCAGCATTGCTGAGGTTGTGAGTTCAAATCTCACCAGGCACATCCTCCGTTTGTTTGTCTCTGCATCTTGTGCTGTCCATTTTCTGCGGGATTGTGTGTGATCATAGGACATTGAAAATTGTCACTATGGACCTCGGCTGTATCAGTTATATGGACAGTTCACACAACTTGTCCATTGAAAACAGAAAGCAGAGGACAAGGGTTCAAGAGCGTAAATTCTCACTTGACATGTCAATTTCTCTAATTGATGATTTACACTATACTACATGTGTAGTGTAACTTCTACTGTAGTGTAGCGTAACTAGGCATGTAGTGTAGTGTAGCATAGCTTAATTTGGTATAAGTTACACTAAATGCTAGCTTCGAATCAGTTACACTATCTGACGGTCAAAATTTTGTTAGCACAAAAAAAGTTACACTAACTGTTAGTTTAGCTGAGATTATTTGAAGCTAACACTACCAAAGATTTTGAGAGAAAGATTTACACTACACCAACAGTTAGCATAGTGGGGTTTAGCGTCAGCTAACACTACAGAATTTCCAGGAAATAAAAAGGCCACTACACTAACAGTTAGTGGTCAAATAGCGTAGTGTAGCGTAGCGGCCCACTGTTGATACATGCATCAACTTACTCTGGTCTGTTTCATCATGTCTGTTTGGTTCTTGTAACACTTAGTTACTGCTACAGCCTCAATAGGCTTATTCTGACAAACCCAGCCACCAAGGTTCAGCTTGGGTCTGACAATGAAGAGTTGAATTAATTTATTCTATTTTGTGTAATTATGTAATACAAGTACAGTTTTGTGAAACCTCTATCCAGATTCTGTTTGACACCCAAATTTAAATCTGACATGAATTTGTGTCAACAATCAAAGCAAACAAGTCATTTCACATATTTTCATATTCTGTCAAGTGTTTTGAAAAATGAAAGATAGTGGAACCTGCAGAAATTCATGTTGTTATACAACATTTGAATCACTTTCAAGCACAAAATTGAAGTTCTACAGATTTCTTTTCAAGTGTGATCAAAGAATTCAATTCCTCAGACATGGAGGCTAGCGGGGGTTAACAAAATACAGATTATCTTACATGATTCTTGGCCAAAACTTCACATTTAAGATAACTATCTTCAGGTTCCAAGTGGGCATAAAAAGTGAACAACTGAAGCAATTATTGCACTCAACACTTATATAAATCCACAAGAAAATTTCAAAACACTACCTCCATAGTAATATTATAAAGTTCTACTGCAGTGGAGAACAGCAACAATGGATCTTCCAAAATTCACTTCCAAATTACTTTCCATCAATTTTGTGACCTTGATATGTTTGATTAAGGTATGCAAGTTTTCTTTTTCACTCCTGTTTGATCATCACAAATGCAGTTCATCATCTTCTGAATAAATTTGATTGCAATTCTCATCTTCCCCAATAGATTTCACTACAAGCATCTATTCCACTTGAATCAAGCAGTGGGGTGGAAGATGTTTCTGAATCTGTTGGACAAGTCAATGAAGTGACCTCCAATCCCAGATTTGTTTCTTCAGATACAGTAAGTCCATCTACAAATTACAGACCATAAAAACAATTGCCACAAATGCTAACTAATGATTGTTGGTTTGTTGGGTACTGGGTTCAAAAGAATTGTGCAATTTGTATAGAGGAGCTACCACTACAAGCAAAACCCATTTTGCCCCAAAAATAAATGGCAATTTGGGTGGGGGAAAATGGATCAATTTTCTGGAAATTTTTTCCAAAATGCCTCAGGAGTAGAAATTAGGCTAAACTGAGCTATTTTAGCCCAGAGATAGAAATTCATCAAACATTCCAAAATGAATTTTTAGCTCATTTGAGACATTGTTATTTTTTGGCTAAAATAGCTCATTTTAGCCTAATTTTTTACTCCTGAGGCATCTTGTAAAAAAGTGCCAAAAAATTGATCTATTTTCCACCATCCAAATTGCCATTTTTCCTTGGGGAAAAATCAGTATTGTTTGTAGTGTACAGAGGGACAAGGATAATATCCAAATTGGGAGTTAGGTTGTGGCCACTCCTTCCATTGTACTTGTGCAGATCCCTGGCTTGAATCCAAAGGTACCTGTCCCACATGTAGAAAGACATATTATGAGGGATATAGTTACAAGGATGTGGGTGAATTTCCACCAATCTAAAATCAAAGAGAATGATTAAAGTTGACCACTTCTTCTCTTTTTCTTCTTGAAATCTTTATATGCCTTTTTCAAGGACCCAAAAATCTATCAGGTCAATGTACAACTACAAACAAGTCAATCAATTGTACAACCCATGTTAGAGTGAGTTGAATACAATATCTCTTTTTGCTTGGGTACTATGCTGAGAGTTACCAAAATGTAAAAAAATGGCTGCTTTGCATAATTTCAGCACGGTACGGGTATTATTGGATAATATTGATCTAGAAGTATTAAGAGACCTGTTTCAAACAAACTATAACCCAGAGCGACATGATATTCAATTACCATCCCACTTGCGTGATCAAACCCCACAGGATCTAGCAGAGAATCTTGATGAAACTGAATTAAGAAGGCTCCTACTAATCATAAGTGGTTACATAGGTAACCAGATCTACTAGTGCCCTCTCAGAAAATGAAAAAAGTATTCTTACACTTAGTTTCAACATTCAACATCAATCAATTTTGGTAATTTTATATTGTGGATGGAAAGATAAAACAAAATGAAGATGTCTTTTTCACAATTTCCATCAATTCAAAGATTTTCTCTTATTTTTCTTACTTGCTCTCTCCAGTATGATATTGCCAATAACTCAGATTCACAAATACTGCTTTGGATTCTTTTTTCATCACCTCAAATATTCAAGATTACAACAATGCATATCCTGACATACTTCATACTATAACATGTTATTTGGCAACAATGGGTCAATGTGTTACAATACAATAATTCAGCTCCTTTGTGAAATGCATTGGCCCATCAATTGTTCTCTTTTTTTATTTTATTTTTCAAAGAAATATCAAATTTTTGATCTTTTACTTTGCATTACAGCCCAATACAGGCTGGATCAACCAAGAAAAGGCCTACTAACAACCACATTTTAAAGTAACAAAAAATTGTCACTTTACAATGCTTTACTGATACAGGTAACTGTATTGCCCCATCATTGTATTTTGGGGTGTTTGATCCAAATTTAGTAATCCTAAAATTAGTTTCCGACTTACTGGAAAATTATGCTTTAAGACTTGAGAAAATGGCACATGTTTTCTAGCTCCTGACTCCCAACAACCATCCATTGAAATTTGATGGGAGTCTTTACCAATTGGATGGCCAGATCTGTGAGTCAACCATCCAATTTTCTCTGGGACTCGGGAGTTGCCCACGAGTTGCTCCATTTGAAAAGGAAGTGTAATTTCTTCCGTGAATTTTTGATCCTTGCACTGCAACATAAAGTAACTCATGTGTGCAGTTGACATGCAATATTACAAAGGTGCCTTTGTAAAGTCACAAGCCAACAACTGCACACAATTTTTGGACTTTTTCTTGCAGTGTTAATCATCAAGAAGCAGGTCAACACTAGCGCACGTTTTCAAAAAAAAATCATTGAAAATCAAGGATCATTGATGACACCAAGTGGTGCATTCTAGGATGAAGGCAAGGAACACAACTTCTTGAATGTTTCTGATGCATGAATGGGGCCAAAAGGCTGAAGGGGTAATGAGATATGGCAGATACATATTAGAGTTCAGAGCTGAGCACCCAGCCCTACCCAGCCTGCAAGTTGTATGCGCTGCAACAGGACCCTGGAAACCCCCGAACTATGTGGGTGACCAAAATGTATGAATTTTTTAGAAAAAAATGAAAATCATACGCACGAAAGTGGTATGAATGAGTTTGGTTGCCTTAAAGGTTACGCACCAAACAGCCTATAAATGTATGAATATCCGCCAACTTGGCGGAAAACCTCCCAAAAATGGCCCGGTCCCCGGCTATTCGGGGGGATTTACTCACTTTCCGGGGGATTTTGGCCCAAGCATACGCACGAAATGTGTATGAATGGGCCCAAATGTGCCATTCCCCGGTGCCCCCCGATGTATGAATTTAGTGAAAATTCCGGGATTTTCGTCACCCACATTTATAGGGGGTTTCCAGGGTCCTGCTGCAACTTCCTGCAACTTCCGCCCCCCTTCGCGATTCTACATACCGATTCGAAAACAGCTGGACTCGTCAGGATGAAAGTCGCTGTCGTTGGTGGTGGGATCAGTGGGCTGACAGCTGTCTGGGTCAGTGAGCTCTTTCTCTCTCTCTCTCTCTTGTTACCTGCCCCACTTGTCGAACGGTGGTTGACTTGATATGCAATCGATCGTTGCAGCTTTTGAATGAATATTCTGATCATGAGGTCGAACTGTTCGAGGCAAACGAGTACGTCGGAGGACACACCAACACGGTCACCTTCAAGGGCACTCCAGTCGATACCGGATTTATCGTCTTCAACAAGCTCACCTATCCCAACTTTGTCCGGTTTTTGGAGATCCTCAATGTGGATTATATCGCCTCCAACATGTCCTTTTCGGTCAAACGAACCTTCGCTCCCGCCTACGAATGGTCGGGTAATGGGATCAGTAGCCTCTTCAATGGAATCTCTAGTTGGACCGATCGTATTTCACAACTTCGTCTCATTTGGGATCTCGTAAGGTTTAATTCTCTAGCAGTCGATGTGCTAGCTGGGCCGGAGGGAGACCTCACCATCCAAGAGTATCTCTCTAAGCACGGATACTCAGATTGCTTTAAAAGGAACTACTTGTTGGTTAGTATGAAGTTATTTTGACTGTGGTGCTAGAATTTTAGTTTTGAAAGAGCATCTTGGACATTGTCATCAGACCAGTATTGACTGATTGGATTTGTTTAACTTGCAGCCAATCATCTCTTCCATCTGGTCAACCCCCGCCAACAAAAGTGCGATGCATTTTCCGACGAAAACTTTGATCAGATTTATGGCAAATCACCATCTCCTTCAAGTATTCAACCAGCCCCAATGGCTGACCATCAAAAACGGATCAAAGACCTACGTGGAGAAGATCCTGTCGAAGTTAGATCCAAGAAAATGCTTCAGATCAACTCCCATTGAGTCGGTTTCGATTGACCGATCCTCAAAAAAGGTGTACTTGAAGGCTTCGAATTCTGAGACTCTTTATGGGCCATACGATCAAGTGATCTTTGCCTCGCACGCCGACCAAACCGTGAAGATTTTGAAGAACAGTGATTGTTCCGATCTCTTTTCAAGCCAGATCGAGATCTTGTCTCGATTCCAATTCAATCAAAATGAAGCCGTATTGCACAACGACCTCAGCATGATGCCCCGTAACAGGAGTATTTGGACTTCTTGGAACTACCTCATCACCGACCCCTCGCAAAATCTCGATCACCCTCCTCCACATCCTACCAAACTTGCTACTCAAGAGAAAGCTATCAATGAATCTGCTGTCGAAAAGACTGTGTGCTTGTACGTCACACTTTGAGATATCTTCCAACATTTTCAAATGCCCTTGATCTGAGACGTTCTTTTTGACTATGTAGGACATATTGGATGAACTTGCTCCAGTCTATCCCAGAGAAAACCTGTGGTCCAGTCCTCGTGACACTCAATCCACCGGAAGAAATCCATCCCAAGTGGGTATTTGGACGATGGAAATATGACCATCCTCTGTACACCAGTCAAGTACGACACTCCTTTCTAAGCACATGTTTTCCTGCGGTACACAATGTATTCGAAAGAATTGCTAACCTTGTGATTCTCTGGCCGTTCGTTGTTTCCACTAATTGCTGCACCTCTCACTGCGCCCACACACACAGAGTGTGAAAGCGCAGGAAGAGATCGCGACGATTCAGACCAAGAACGGCCTGAGTTTTGTAGGCGCATGGACGAACTATGGCTTCCACGAAGATGGACTAACGTCGACGCTGCGCTTATTGCTAGTCCAACATCCCTCAATGTTTGCTGTGCGCTCGCCGTTCGAGAGAGTCTCGGTTACCGAGGAGTCTATCCGGCCCGTCGGACTGGGGACACGCTCTCTCCTCGGATTGATCCAGGCCTCGATCCAGATTTTCTGCCGTCTAGTCTGGCTCACTCGAACCATCGTCTACCTCCTTTTCCCTCGAACGCCAGTCAAACCGAAGCTTGCTTGAGAATCGTTCAAACCAGTCTCTCGCTAATACCTTGAATACCCGCCCCAGCCCGAAATGAAGGTTTAAAAAGGGCAAAAGAGATGGCCAAAATCGAACCTCCAAGTGGACGTAAAAACCAACTACATCGTTACCATACTGGTACCAAACAATTTTCTCAGCTTTGTAAATTGAATGTATGAATGTACTTATTTGTGTGCGTAGTTCGTGGATACCGCCTAGTATGATGTGCGTGGTGCAAAGCGGTTGAAGGGCCATGTCTTGTTGAATGTCAGCCCCCCCCCATGCGTAGAGCTGCAGCACATAGGAATCAAAGGACTTTCGCGAGGTCTCTACTCACCTTGCGCTTTGAGGGGCTTTTTTTGTTAAGCTAGGGACCACGTGTGCGTCTCGGTGCACCCACAGTCAAGTGTATAGATATTAGAAACCCGGTTCTGGTGGGCATCATTTTGGGGGGCGTGTTGTCCCCCAGAGCCACAGCTCTCATCCCCCATCGAGGCCCAGAGGCTCCCCGCTTCCTCCACACAAATTCGCACATCCTCAGTCCCAGATAGAGAGTAGGCAGACAGAACGCGCCTCATCCTTCTCGAGCCCCACCCTCTGCCCCAAATGAGACATCGAGGTCTGTTTGTCATGAGCTCCGAGGTACCGCTGAGCGCAACAACGCACCAAGGTTTGAGCAGGACCCATCGTGCTTTTGAGCAAACTTCGCGCCATGCCACGTTAGACCATCATCAAAACGGATCATAAAAAATTAGTATTACTTAATAGAACAACGAACAAGTTAATAAAAAACGGTTAAGCCGGTTCAAATTCAAGGAAGTAAAGTATAAAAAAGAAAGCGACGGTGGGTTGAGTCAAGTGGGGGTATATGTATATATATATATATATTGGAGCCATTCAAATGTATGATATATATGTGTGTGTGTGTGTAGAGATTAAATGGACGGTAGCCCAAGAACCAGGACCCCAACGACAAAAAGGAAAAACAGAAAAGGGCGAGAAATCGAACGCAAGGAGAGAGAGAAAGCAAGAGTGGGAGTAGGAGAGTGTTCCGGTGAGAAAAGTGGGTGACGATGATATGACGAGAAGTGTGTGGCGAGTGGCAGGGACGAGAAAAGGATCCATTGGGAGTCTCTCCGTCTTCTGGACACGAGCCCCGATCCCAGGGTCGTTGTCCTTCCCCTCCCCCCCCCCCCCCCTCACCAAAAAAAAAGAGAAAAAAAAAAAGGAAAGAACAAACGAAGGAAGGAACAACAATAAAAAAGAAAAAGGACGAGGTGATCGGCGATGGTGGCCTGACTGAAGGAATGCGGGCTCTCGAATCGTTGTTGAGCTTGGTTAAAAGGGATGCCAAATGAAGTCGGTGCTCAAAGACACACACACACACACACTTATGCACAAACACACCAGTCGGATTAACAGGTCGGCCTCATGATCGAGAAGCGGGATCAGGAAGATGAAATGAAATCCTGGGTGGGTTGAATAATGAAGTTTTTTTGTTGTTGTTTTTTGTTTGAGGGAGAAAGGGAATATTAAAAGATGTTGACAAGAGTTTTAGGGTTTTAGAAAAAGTCAGAGTCAGTATATGTATATGTATATATAAGTAGATAGATAGATATGATTGCGAGATGAGTGTGTGGGAGAGATAGATAACAAAATGCGACGAACCAAGAAAGCCTGCCCTTCCCTCAACCAAAAAAAAGCAAAGGAAAATGGGTCGGGGGGGAAGGAAAAAGCGGAGCCGAAACGAAAAGAAAACAACAACAACAACCAACAACAACAGATCCAAGGAGGCAAGTAAAAGGGAAGGGTCGATCCAAGCTTTTCGTAGGGACGAGGTAAAACAAAAAACGAAGGATCGGTTGGAGATGGGGGGCCTAGACAGAGAAAGAGAAGAGATACAAATAAGAAAGAAAGAGCAAGAGAGATAAAAAAAGGATGCCAGGAAAGAGAGAAAGAGAAGAAGAAGAAGAAGGAATTAAGTGTCTTCGTCAGGGTTGAGGGCGACTAATCGACGGCCGCCGCCGCCAGCGTTGGGGTCAGAAGAATGGAGATCGAGATGGTGATCACTAAGCCGGGCCGCCGGGTCACGATAGAAGAATCTCTTCGCTGAGGGAGATGGGCGATCC